TTGCAAAGATATAGCAGCTTGTTTCAAATTGGGCAAACCTTTGGTACTTTCTGTGGGCTAATAATTTCAGATAATTTCTCACCTGAAAAATACTAAGTCCATACATAAGAACAGTTCTCCGGACTACTTCATCGAACAAAAAGTTTGGAAAAAATACAAAAGGAGTGTACCATGATTTTACGTCCTGGTAATTATGTCACAAAGGATTATTGCAAATGGTTCAAAACTCTCACCAATTCGCCGTTTTATTTATTTTGACAAAGATTAAAAAAAAACTGTAAAACAGAAACTGTTGCCTTTCACAATTATCTCATGTTTTCAACAAGCTGGCTTTCTTCATACTTTAGCTGACAATTCTGTTCATTTGATTATGAATGCCTAACTTCATACATTTTTATTTTTTGCTAATTACAGTTCCCTAATCAGAGCTTAATGTGAATATGATAAACAGTAATGTCAGCTCCAACAAAAAATATGAAAAAAACTAGTATTTGTATGAAGAATTCCAAAACCATCTCTAATAATATTACGGAGTAAAAATACTTGTTGAATAAAAGTGTTAATAGAAATTCCTGTATGTTCTACAGGAATGTCACAAATTTTACCAGGCAAAAAGTTCTGGTCCAAATCAGACTTTGAAGAAAGCAGTCAGAATTGTTATCTTGATCTAATCTTTCTCAGTTTAAATCCCTCTCTAATTATAAATCCCATAATTACCAACAATATTAGAGTTGTTGTCTCTATCCGGGCATACTTTATATGCCACACTTATCCAACCTTGGCTGATTCCAGAAAACTAAGCAGAATTGGATCCGTACTTTGAATGAAAGACATTCAAAGACAAGAATGACAGGGCAGTAGGACAGATTGGGAAGTTGACAAACAAGTTTAAATATAAGAAGGCAGTGGCAAACTATTTCTATATTCTTGTTGTGAAAAATACACGGAAATGGCAATGAATTCACCAGGAGTTAACAGTAACCAAGGGGATTACCATATTTCTTACCATATACTCGAGAGCAGTGCAGTATGGAAGCTTCCTCTGGATTATAACTGTCAGCCTCACTGTGTAGACCAAACCATAAGAAGGCTAAAACTACTATTACTAATATTGACTATAGTAATATATTTTTGCAAGTTTGACTGTGCCTTTTCCTCTGAAAAGCACAGAATGTGAATTAGGGAGGGGTCACCTAAGTTACTTGCCGATACTTCTTGTTTTGGGCTTAACTGGTGTTTTTTCCCTTATCATTTTGATAATGGATTTGGCCTATTTCTATTACAGTCATCTTTCTTACTCTTTGCAGTAACCAAAGATTTCGGGTAATAAAAAGAAAAGGGGAAAGAGATTCTGTGTATTTTCAACATGAAAGCCAAATTCATGTTATTAAGGATGCATGGTGTAATTCTGTCACTGTGTTACTACAAATAATGCATAGAGATACCTTTTTTCTCTATAAAGAGAGTTATTGAAAAGGTCAATTGGTGTCACTGTGGTATTTCAGAACTGCAATTCGTTGTTAAAGTTGCACTTAAAAATAGTTCCCTGTTTTCCACTATGAAATAACTGGCAAAAAAAATATAGACTATATTCCCTGAAGAAATCAAGGGAATTATCTTGTTAGAGTTGGCTGAAAAATGGAATTTGAAATATTAGTTTTTGAAGTCCTTTTTGCATTTGCACCTTGTAAATTGATTTACTCAGGTTCCACAAATTTGCTGATTCTAATTATTATCGATGACACAATAGTCTACCTTAATTCCGTTTGTTTGATGTACTTTATTTAAAAATTACTTTTGAAAATTGAAATGCCCAGCAACATTGTTTAAAAATAAATGATGCCATTTGGGGAAATCCAGGTTTGGCTGTGATGAAGAAGGCCTGTCTTGTGAAACAAGATAGGATTGATTTGAGCCTGTGGATCCTGAGGAAGTGGACAGGTTGCTGTGTGCTGTAGCTCTACCCTGCCCAATCTGGCTAGTGAAATGAGCAGTTGTAAATGCATCCTTAAGTAAACCATTGCTTGCTTTCCTGCCTTCCACCTAAGAAGTGATATGACCCTTTCTGAAAAAAAGCCACAGCTTATCTCAACTATCTTGGATAATTACCAGCCTACTCCTGTTGAGATGGTAGCAGGGTTGCAGTTCCAAGGAACCCTGGAGGAAATGAATATCTGGACTCTTGGCAGTTGGGATGCAGGCCTGTGAATGAGATGGAAGCTACATTGGTTGCTCTCGTTCAGAGGTCTTCAAACTTGGCCCTTTTATGACTTGTGGACTTGAACTCCCAGAATTCCTCAGCCAGCATGCCTGGCTGAGGAATTCTGGGAGTTGAACTCCACAAGTCATAAAAGGGCCAAGTTTGAAGACCCCTGCTCTAGTTGAAGACCTTTATTGAACCAGGGTAGGAAAGGTACAGTCAAGATTCTCCTTGATCTCTCAGTTGCCTTCAACACCATAGGACAGGGCGGCCTTCTAGGCCAGGTGTGAGGGTTGAAAGTGGAAGGCACTGTTTTGCAGTCGGAGTTTTTTTTCC